GGCTACACATAACTTGTATTAATCTCATGATGTCTCAATAAATTTAGTTTTAAAATATTAATGTTTTTCTTTTTTGATACATACTTTCTTGCGTGTGTGTGTGTAGCATATTCAATGAAATAAAAGATTAAAAGCAAAGTTTAAAATGAAGAAATGATTTTTGAAGAAATAAAAGGTTCAATATCAGGAATATAAAATTGAGTGAAACAAAAATAAATGTATTAAACCAATAGCTTGTAACATGAAATATGCTTGAATCCAGAAAGATATAGAGTTAAACTTCATGGTGCTGTCATTAAAATGTAAAACTAAGATAATTTAATTAAATACTTAAAAGTAGAAAACAATTTTAAATATCTAAACATTATAAACTAAAGGAGTAGCACAAAAGTACTAAAAGAGTGTATTCATCTGACTTTCACTTTCACGCTAAAGGAATCGATGCTAGCATATTGGGATCTCTTTAATCCAGCCTTGTGAAATAATAGAATCAAGGGCCCCTGATTAGTGACATTTTATATTTAAGGCCATGAGAACTATTTATTAGGTGAAATTTACAACAACAACAAATGTAAAAACAAAACAAAGCAGTAAATCCTACCTATCCTCCTGTTTTCCTCCCTTTCTTTGTAGAAAAAGATACTTTTCATTGTCCTGACAACATCCTTTCAGAATATCTGTGGCTGGTAATAAAAATGCACTACTTCTCTTTCAACTTTTACTGATCAAGTAGATTTTTGTCCAGGACTTCTTTCTAGGTAAAGTAAAAAAGGATAGGTTGAGTCTCAGTGAAGATGTTGGAAGTATACAAATGAATAGTCACATGGGATAACTGACACTCTACCCTGTCCACCAGAAGTAGAACTTACTTCTTGCTTTTTCATTGTCTAGTAGTCATTTTTCAGAGGAAATAGGGTATGGGTGCTACTTACAGTTGACTGATTCACTTTTATCTTACCCAAGGAGACAATGTCTAACACACAAAGAAATTTAGAATGCTGCATACCTGTACTTGCAGTATTCTCAGAAACTGAGGTAGAAAGTTCACAAATTTGAGCCCTGCCTGGGCTACTTAGCAAGACCTTACCTCCCAAAAAAGAAAAGTTTTTAAAGGGCTGGGGATATGGTTTAGTGCAAAGGCCCTGGCTTCAATCCCTAGTAAAACACACACACACACCCCACACAATTTTTTTTCATGATAGGCCTTACTCATTATTTCATTGATTATTTTTTTTTTTGGTACCAGGGATCAAACTCAGGTCCTTGCATTTGCAAGACAGGCGGCAGAACCACTGAGCTAAATCCCCAGCCCACATTGTTCTTAATTCATTTAACTGAGACAGTACTATGAGCTGCTTTTACTCACACCTCTGACACTAGTAACGTTTTTTTCCTCTACCTAACAAACTATTCTTTGATTTTCTAGACCAGTGATGGCAAACCTTTTAGAGCTTTCAGTGATAACAAACAGCCAGCTGTGGTGCATGTGCCCAGGTTCATTACCACTGCCCTAAATACTAAATGGATGTCTTTTAATTCATTTTAGATATGAATACTTGGAAATGGCACACAGCTGAAGTTCTCAGTTCTAAAAGTCTGCTCCCACTTCAGATGCCTTTGACAAATCCATCTTTTATTTTTGATCAACCACCCATCATTTGGGGGTTCCCATGGCCCTTCTGAAGATTTGGTAGTTTGCTTTAATGACTCTAAAAAGGACTTTATTTACTACTCCCAGTTTATTAGACAGGGTTCAACTCAAAAACAGCTAAAGATGGGTGTAGAAAGTTAGGTGTGAGAGAAACGGGGCTGAATGTTTTAACTCTAAAGTCAAGCAGCTTCCATTTTGAAGCTGTATATGTGTCCACCAAGTATCATGTTAGTATAAATTCTGGTGTATTTGAAAGGAGCTTTCATGAATAACAGAAGATGCTCATGTCACCCAGGAAATTCCAAGAGTTTTAGAAGCTCTGGGTCAAGAATTGGAGACAAATATCAAATATATCTCTCTATAATCACAAATAAAACGTACACACTTTGACTATTATTTTTTTTCTAAAAGCAATATAAAATAGTGGTATTTTTAAAAAGAAATTGCCCATATACATAGTGGCACCTGTTCTCTTTTCTTAATCTCACAAAATGATGTGACAGACTTTTAAGGAAGTTTGTATAGAGAACATCATATAGGATCAGGAAAAAAAGGTAGATTTTCAAAATAATGTGATAATATTATTTACAAGAGAAATCATCTAAAAGGAGACTGCAATAAAAAGCTAGAGAAGCTCAATTAATTATTACATGTAGTTTTGGCGCTAAGGAAACAGCACTCTTTAAGTGTGATGCTTTAATATGATAACCACTTTGGACTAAGGGAAATTGCAAGGCTTGAGGAGTTCCTAAAATCTCATTAGCTGTGGAAGATTAACCCATAGGAAAGAAGACTAGTAGGTGTCCACCTATTTACACTAAAGGTAGCATATGTTCTTTTGAAGACTGACACCTGAGAGACCACCTGCATGGTAAAACAATCTTGGTTGTAGTGGAGGGCTGTCCTTTACCTTTGTCCCAGTTTTGTTGTTCAGGCCCAGTTCTAAAAATCTTGGAATATTGCCTACAACCCCTTCTTCCATTTCCTTCTCCCTGGTGAAGAGGGTATTAAAGTTTTAATTATCTGGCCCATTTTTTAGATTTCATATTTGGTATGGCTTCTAGTGCAGGTGTATTCTATCTGTTGTCAGGTTATTTCAGCAGCCTTAAAAGTTTTGAGTCTTCAGAGGGATAAGGAAGATTTCCAATAGGATTAAAAAAATATATATAGGAAATTGAGTAAGTTTAAACCTTTATGAATAAGTAAAGATAAAAACGAAGAATGGAGGAGAAACTCTTGAGAAAGAATACTAAACAAGATGCATTTTTGTAGTAGTGAAAATTAAAGCATTTAAAACTATCCAGGCATGGTGATGCATGCCTGCAATCCCAGCACTCAGGAGGCTGAGGCAGGAGAATCACTGTGAGCTCGAGACCAGCCTGGACTACATAGTGAGTTCCAGATCAGTCTCAACTACATAGTAAGACCCCGTTTCAAAAAAACCAAACAAATCAAACAAAACAGAAACTAAATGTAGCCGAGTGTAGTAGGGTACAGTTGTAATCCCAGCACTTGGGAGGCTGAGGCAGGAAGGTCACTGAAAAGTCCAGGCCTGCCAGGGCTACATAGTGATTTCAAGGCCAAACTGAGGTACATAGCGAGATCCTGTCTTCAAAACAAAACACTACAAAATACCCTGAAGTATTAAACTTGTATTTCTGTAAAGTGAAACACATGCTCACACCCACCGTCTGAAAGGAAGCGTATATATTTCTGCATGGCTCCTCTTGGTTCATTTCCCAAATTCAGTTCAGAGATCTTGAAGAGTAAAAGTGAGACAGAGAGTGGGTCTTCGTTCCTCACCAGGGCCTGGGCATAGCTGCTTGGATATTCTTCATAAAGTCTGAGAAGGTGAGAAACAAACTTCTCAGGAAACAACCACAGATGGACATAGTTCACCAGTCCATCAGTGAGCCTTGCACACATCCAGGAATAGAACAGCTACAAAGACAGTAAAATTAATCTTTAGTCTTTATTAGAGTTATTTAGATATGTTTAGACATCCATGCGTTTTGAACTCTTACTGTGAATAGTAACTGTTTCACTCAGAATGGTAGCAGATATTTAAATTACTAGAACAGATGAATCACATTTGCATATTATTTCTATACTGCTGAAAGAGCCTTGTAAATAAATGCAGCACCATGGTGTTAGAGGATTAGAAAGAGAAACTTGGGAACTGATAGACTATTATCAAGGTAAAGGTACTTATTCCCTTAGGTGGAAAATCTTACCTATTCTAGCTTTTATTATCCTAGGATAATGTTCTGTTTATTTCATGAGTACAGAAGTTTTAATTGGGTATGTCGTGTTTCAAAGACAAAAGAAATGCCTAATTCACTCTAACAAACTTGTTAGTCACTGTTTATACCAAGAGGATTTCTACTCTGTAGAGAATAATATTTTCCTTTCCCTTTGTTGGTAAATTAAAATTTTACACTGAAAGTATAAAGTATAAAGTATGCAGTCAAGCATACTTTAAAGTAAAATCATCTCAGTCTAGCATAGAGATGTATCCTTTCAGCTTTTTTATTGTTTTTTTCCCTCATTTTTAAATGTTATGTTTCCAAAATGGTTCAGTAAGAAAATGTTAAATTTGTCACTAATTTATCTGATAAGAAAAAGGTTTAGGTTTTGGTGAATTTTAACTTTAATAATATTAGAAGATATTTCATGATTATCTTTTTTCCTTTAAAGTTGTTGTTGAGTTATTTGCAGATTTTTACTTGGTGGAAAAGGTTTTGAAAGTAAGTTATATAGCCAGTTTTGGAATGATTTGTTGGGACAACTTCACCCATATATCTAGGTTTCTATTTATTATGAAGTTACCGCTTTTCTAAAATTGGGATTTTTACCGTTTACACTGCCCAGTGCGTGAACTTTCACTTGAACAAAAGGTTTTAGTAGGGAGCATTAGACTTTCAGTCCACCCTAATTCTGTTACTGTTTGCTTTGTTCAGCAGTCACTGTGATCCTCCTGGCAGGGAACAAGATCCAGAGAACAAAACTAGTAGTGACTGTGTAGATAAAAAGGCAAAGAATTCTGCTTTTAAGGCAAAGAGGAATAGTCCACAAAAGAATGAAAACGGGAATGAAAGAATGGCATTGTTAACCCATATACCTATTGTACTTTTGAAAATCTTAATACTGTAGAAAAATGTGACACTACAAAGATGCATAATTATATGATTTAAAATCTTGGAAAAGGTCACTGTTTGTTCCTCATTTGGAAAGAAAATAGACTAGATAATTTGTAATTGAAAAACCACAGTACCCTGTTTCTTAAAATGACAGGACAGTGTTTCAGCAGCATATCAGGTACCATGATATATAATTTATTCCCTTCCAGAACAGCTCTTTAGATGCTATGAAGATGATGGGGTCAAGCAGAGTACTTCAGAGAAGAATGGGAAAGAAATGTCGGAGCAGACCTTACGGAAGGTAGTATAATCTTTAAGATATTGAGCCAAACAAGTTAAATCTGAATTTTAACATAAAGGATTAAATTTTAAAACCAGTGCTCATAAACTTAAACCTTGTGTGAATCCTTAATTTAAATTCATAATTCAAAATCATTGGCTTGCCAAAATAGGGTAAAAAAAATCAATGTTAGTGAAATAAATGTGCAAATACTTGTGCTTCTGTTGACATAGATTAAAAATATTTTCAAAGATGAAATGGAGAGAATGAAAACAATAGAAGTTAATAAAAATTTAAACTATATATATTTATTAGTTACAACTGAACAGTTTGAATTTAAAATGGTTCACGGTGAGACTATTTTACACTATAACAAACATTTATATTTACAGTATTTAGCTAAAAACCTGAGCATGGTGTAGCTCTTGAGACAGCAAAAATACTAATTTTACTGGTAAAATGTGTATAATTTTGAACTTGAAAATATATATGACTCATCTCATTTTATATCAACATTTATACCACATATTTAACATAGTTTTTTTTAATAACACCACCCATATCAGTCTTGTAGTCACAATACAATGTGTCTATCATCAATAGTAAAATATTGCTTTAAAATGTTAACATTTATCTTTATAATTTTATACTTAATTCATACTTTTATATATAAATATAGTGTTTCTAAGTTCAATGAAGTTGAGTCAGTTGTATTAATGCTTTTTAAAATTATTATAAAGAAACCAATCTTTAGTTTATTTTTATAACTGACTGTCATTTAACCATACTGGATTCGTTTTGTTTTTTTAAATAACTCTTTAATATTTTCAGAAAGCTAGAAATTAACTAATATATGAGCAAAAAATTAATAGACATCCTTATATTCCTTGCAGCTGTGAACTGACTTGTAGAACATGTAGTAATTTATAACATTTGATGTGATTCCTGAATAGATCTAACACCTGCCATATGGTCAGGTAACAAAGGCTGTCATCTCAGTATTACTGCATGACACGTAACTGGTTAACATAATCATAGAAAGAACAAAAACTGCTCAGTTATCTCAAGCTATAATGAATAATTTAAAAATCTACTATTGGGTAGATACCATAATAGTTTATATTAGCTTATCTTTGTTTCAAAAATAATTTTGTCTGCCAGATATTGTCATTTTTATTTGTACATATACATTAATGTTGTTCTTTATTGCCCTAGAGTAGAAACCGTAATGAAATCTATTATTTCCTGCTAACCACTATAAATGATTTACACCATAATGGATATATGATCTACTTTAAGGCCTAGAAAGCCAACGGGAATTATTTTCATTGTACTATCTGTCAAATTAGCATACTAATTTGTTGCTGGTTTTTACATTAATTTAGTGCACTTGTATCAGTCACAATTTAATTAGTCATGGTTGGATTTCATTATTTTATTACTCATTTATTTTTGTGATGCTGGGGAACCTTGGACCTCCCACATGCAGCAAACATTCTACCACTGAACCATACCCTAGCATAAGTTTTTTTTTTTATTTTAATAGGATGTACATGAAACTCATTCAAAATGAATGTAAAAGATAGTAATGAGAACAATATTTGCATATATTAGTAATGAAACATAATAAGGAGTTTTTAAAATTAATGTATTAACATTTCACACTGTCACTTGCTGAATTAAGTCCCCTTGAATCTTTTAAGTACTAATCTTCTAAATCTCAGCATTCTATTTAGAGAGAATTCTTAAAGAGGTACTTAAATTAAAATGAGGATATTAGGGAAGGCCCTAATTCAGTATGCTGGTATTGTTACAAGAAAATGAAATTAGGACACAGACAAAAACAGACAGAAAACCTTGTGACACCAGAAAAGTTGTCTGTTTACAAGGCGAGGAGAGAGGCCTCAGGGTAATAAAGCTTGCTGAAACCTGTTCCTGGGTTTGTAGATTTCAGAACTATAAGAAAATAGGTTTTTGTTGAGCCCCCCACTCTGTGGTACATTTTTATAGCAGTCTTGTCAAACTAATATATATATATATATATATTTCACAATGCCAGGTGTTCTAATTTTGAAAAGAGCTGTTTCTTTGATAAATTATTTTAAAAGTTCAGTACTGAAAAGAAAGTATGGACTTGAGCTGATTTGAAACACAAAAAGAAAACACCTGTAACAGTTCCCCCAGACTTTCATTCATTAAATCAGTTCAGCAATTTTTGAGTATACCTTGAATAACACTTTAATAGGTGCCATGGGTTTTCTCTTTTCAGAGTCTTTAGAAGTAATATCTTTGCTTTGTTATCTGTCTTCCATTTTAAACACAAATAATTTTGACCAGTTCCTGCATGTGAACATAGATTTGCATTAGGCAGTCAATAGACTTTAGTCCACAAGCACTTTCCCATTGGTATGCATAGGGGCAGAAAGGTGTGATGTTTTGTCATCTGTCATAGGAGTCACAGTCAGCACTCCTATAATAAGAGACAGGTTAACAAGGGAAAATTGTGATAAATTCATTGAATTAAAATTTTATGTGATGTGTGAGGCTTCAGAAATGAAGACCTAGGAAGAACTGTTCACTTTTATGCTTACGTTCTGTGAAGAATGGTCAACTGTTTTGAATTTTGATTGAAAAAAATGATATGATCTAATGGTGATAGACTGAGAGAAAAACCCAAGAACGGCCTGTGTACTTGAGCTCTTCTTGGCCTTTCCATGAAGACTGTTTTCCCATAGGATGGGGCAGCGCCTCTGAATCGAGGATCTTCAAGGTGTAAGAAGGTAGAGTAGTCTTTCTAGTAAGTGAAGAGTTCTAGTTCCAGTGACCAGCTAGGATGAAGAGAATTCTAGTTTCTGCATCTCAAACTGGGTGAGAAAGAAGTGTGAAAATTGTGAAGGCAGAAGATCACAAAGACTCTGCTTCTGAGAACCTTCCGTTGCCCTTCAGTTTCGGAGTCCTCCAGAGTATGCCAAGATACTATACTGTGCTCTGAGCCCCAACATATGTAAAAATTTTATGAATCACATCCAAACTTAAATAGATTTTAGCCGAAAGAAAAAAATACTAATTTCCAGAATTAAAACTCTAGTTTAAAATGTTTGTTACAGAGCCAGGTGTAGTGTTGTGTGCCTATAATCCTAGCACTTGAGAGGCTGAGGTGGGAGAATCTTTGTGAGTTCCAGGCCAGCTGCAGCTGCGTAGTGAGTTCGAGCCTAGCCAGAACTACATATCGAGACCTTGTCTAAAAGAAAAAGTTTTGTTACATTTGTTCATAGCGTTTTAATTTTATTAAACTGTAGAGTTTATTTAAAAGCTAATTTTGAATATTTAGTACATGTAACAGAAACAATTTTAAAGTAATAGAAATAATAATATTGATGATGCAGATAATAAATTGGTTAGTACTTAACTGTCTGCGAGATTTGTTGTTTATCATGTTTAATACAACAGATCTACATGATAGATATTACTTGTCTTGTCCCACAGAATTGGAAACTAATGGTAAAAGTATAAATATTTTAGTATTTAAAGCAATGAGATCTGCAAGATAATAGACCTGACTTAAAATTTTATTTTCTCTAGACCACACTGCTTGTTAATATTTTTTCTACCACTCCCAAGTCAATTTTTGAAAAATATGTAATTGCTTATACAAAAGATGTATTAAAAAGAGTCTGTTTTACTTACCTTACCCTGGAATCTAGCCTGCTAAATTGTGTGTGTGTGTGTGTGTGTGTGTGTGATCTCATATATATATA